CTGTATATATACTTTTTGTCTACCAAATTGGCCAAATTTTCAAATTTAGTGGTGTTGGTGAGAATGCATACTATAGACCTGCTCACAAACTTTTCAACAGCTTCTTAATGGAAAATCCCAAACTGTCCCCAACTTTCGCCTGAGCACATATACATGCTAAAATGTGCAATCCTGGGCTCTGCTGCAGAGATTCTGAATCCATGGGTTAGAAATAGGGTCCCAGAAACTTGTCTTTTGACCATGACAGAAAACTCTATTGCAAGTTATCCTCTGACCACACTTGAGGACAGATTGCTTAGAGTATGGGCAGGGTCAAGAAAATGGTCCCAGCTATGGAACTGTGCAGGACTGTCTTGCTCAATTAGACTTGATTAATTGATAGAAACATTAACTACTAGAGACCCGGTGCACGAAATTCGTGTACTGGTGGGGGGCATGGCCTGCAGGTATCAGCCAGCTGTGGGAGTGCTGCTCATCCTGGTCAGCCAAGAGGCGTTCTCACTGTGGGAGCGCACTGACCACCAAGGGGGTAGCTCCTGTGTTGAGCATCTGCCCCTTGGTAGTCTGTGCGTCATAGTGACTGGATGACTGGTTGTTCTGTCATTTGCTCACTGGGCTTTTATTATATAGGATAAGACAAAAAGTATCGAGTGTATGCCATTGTAATTCACCTAGTTATTAGTAACAGGAAAGCTACATATTATAGGCATGTCATTTGGGCAGCCTTGCCAGAAAGCTACATCTTTACACTGCCCAGGGAACCCCAGGTCTATCCCCTGCAGGTCGCAGGGGGAAAGGACTGTACAGGGGGGAAGACGGGTGCACGTGCAGTGAGTTGGGGTGATGTGAGGAAGTACTTGACTGTCAGTCACACCTGGGAACAAGTTATTGGCCATAATGGGTGTGGCCACTGCAAGAGCCTGAAATTTGGGATATTTCAATCCCTTGAACAAAAGAATTTGCTCTCTTGGCAAATTGCACTTGATTCCTGGCTTGTGGGGCTCTCTCCTCCTGCTTCCTGGCATTCGCTAGACTAATGGACTGCAGCTAGCCTGATGCTAACTGGACCTGGATGCATCATGGGATGGAAATTCTGGACTCTGGCTTTGCTTTTAGGTCTACTGAAACCCAGCTACACTCCTTCTAGGACTGGAACAGGACTTTGGAAACCCAAGGGTGTAATGCCATGCAAATAAAAATCTCTCATCCTCCTGTGCAAGTCTCAGAAAATTCTTTTCCTGGAGATATTGTGAAGACACCACCCCCAGCACCCAATGGGGGAGAGGACGCCCCCACTTCTCCAATAACAAAGTCATGCTTGCTACTGGTGGGCTTTGACACTGGGCCACACACAGTTCGGTTTTTAAGATATTTATTCTCTTTGGCCCAGCAATTCAACTTAAAAAATTTTTTACCCTAAGGATATAATCAGGTCTTATTCAAAACACTGGTAGACTTATAGAAACTATTTAAGAGTTTGGAATAAGTAAGAAGAGGATGAGGCTAATCTTGATCATTTTTCCTTGAAATGCTGGCTTTGAGAGAGAACTTGCAAGGGAAGAGCACTCCACTGGTGTCCCACATTTGCAGACTTTGTTTTGCAAATGTTTTCTGGTTACTATGGCAACTTCTGGATGTCTCCGTGTAAATGGGAATTTGGGGAGCTTATTTTTGAGAAGAAAAAAAAAGAATAGTGCTTTCTTTTTATCCTGGTAAGCTTGTTCTCTGCTGTCAAATTAGATTCTGACAGCAAGGTTTAATCTAGAACATGCTTCATTAGAGACTGAATAATAAAGTATTTCCAGGGATTGACAGTTCTTTTTCATTTATATTTTTACGTATTTGCTTTCAATGAATTCAAGAGATTAAACTGAAGTGCTAAATACTTGCTATCCTTTTAAATAATTCAGAAATAGATCCTCACTTGGAGAGTTTGACACATGTGAGTGTGGTCGTGGCATTTGTGGAATGAGGCACAAGGAAAGAACACGGCCCTGGGTCAGTCAGACCTGGACACTCAGCCAGTGTTCTGACACCCTGAGCCTCAGTTTCCTCTATACAATAAGAATCAGAAATAATATAATTATACAGTGTCTACAACAATGTCACGTCCTTTGAGCAGGTTCTCAGGAAAACATGGTAGCTATTCTTACCAAAGAAAAAATAAAAGCAAGCCCAGAAACATCCCACATCTATTAGATTTGGTTTAAAACAATTGGGCTTTTCACTGGAAAATGGAATACATTAAAAAAACATAATACATATCAGCACTATTTGAATTGGACTTCTTCAGGTTTCAGCGTATCCTATATAATAAAAGGCTAATATGCAAATCGACCGAACGGCGAAATGACCGGTCACTATGACCTGCACTGACCACCAGGGGACAGACGCTCAATGCAGGAGCTGCCCCCAAGTGGTCAGTGTGCTCCCACAGGGGGTGCGCTGCTCAGCCAGAAGCTGGGCTCACGGCTGGTGAGCACAGCAGCGGTGGCAGGAGCCTCTCCAGCTTCCACGGTAGTGCTAAGGATGTCCGACTGATGGCTTAGGCCCGCTTTCCGCGGGGAGCAGGCCTAAGCTGTCAATCGGACATCCCCCGAGGGCTCCTGGACTGCGAGCGGGCACAGGCTGGTCTGAGGGACCCTCCCTGAGTGCACAAATTTCATGCATCGGGCCTCTAGTTTATAATAATATCATTAGATACTCATCAGTAAGTAATAGGAAAAGACTGTGGGGATTTTGTAAGATGAAGGAACATGACAGATAAGCTTGTATAAAGGAAGTCTGAGATCCTTAAAACTTTATACCAGTGTGAAAAGATGTAGTGAGCTAAGTTGACAAACTAGATAGCAAAGGCCAAGCTTTTAAGCTTATAGAAGTCACGGTGACTAAGGGCCAGGAGCCCCCAATAACCCATTATAGATGAGGAGACGCCGTGGGGACAGGGCTTGACTTCTCTCAGACAAGTGAGTCACTTCCGAAAGAAGTTAGCACTGAGGCAGGACAGGCTTCCCCACTGGTTTTCCAGTAGCATTGATTCTCATATGTCTCTGTCTCTTGGTTTGCTGTTTATTAAACTGTGTATGAAGGAACAGGGATTTTAATGGGGCAGGCTACATCAGACTCCTTAATTTCTAATCTGCCTTTATTCCTTAATCTTTAATTATTGTGACAAATTAGAGCACCACAGATGACCACCTGGGCAAAATGTTGAAGCAAAACACAAATGCCAATTTTGTAAAGCAAAACAAGATATTCTGAAATTTAAAACTATGAAAAGGTAACAAACTGTCAAATCTCAGAGGGAATGTGGGGGGTGGGTGGGAAGAGATCAATCAAAGAACTTGTATGCATATTTTCATAACCCATGGACACAGACTATAGGGTGGAGAAGTCTGGGGTGGGGGGCAGGTGTGGGCTAGAAGGGGTCAATGGGGGAAATAAAGAGACACATATAATGCTTTCAAAAATAAAGATTAAAAAAGACTTTGTAAAGGTCCCCTGAAATGAAAGTAATAGTTTAAGGGTCCTTAAGTCCATATCATATGTGGCACATAAGCTCAACTTATAGAAGTTAGTCTATTAAAAAGTATTGATGCAGAACTGTAAAAACCACCACCAACAACAAAAGTAAGGGCCCAACACAGAAATCAATGTTAACGCCGTATTTTCAGTATCTGAATTTGGTTTCCATTTCCATTTACTTGTCTTGTATCTAAGGTAGTACATTCAAGAGAGTGAAAATGGGGCAGGAAGAAAGGTCAGTTGATAGACTTTCCCAGAATGCTGATCCTCCCAGCTTATTGTCCTCCCCTGCTGCTGGTCACCAGAGACAGAGAATCTGGGAGCATGGTTTCAAAAGGAAACTGCCAGGACTAACTGTCAGCTGCGCATTGGGGGAACTGTCCCCACACCACCACCACCACCACCACCACCACCACCACCACCCCCGCTCCTTTCCCCACAGGGTCGCTGGATGACAGCTTCGTAACCCTCCATCTCCAGCCTGTAACTGGTTGAGGTCAGGGTCCACTGACCACGGCAGGTCAATCCTGGCTCCTACCTTGGGATCCCAGGTAAAATACAGGTGTCCAGTTAGATGTGAAGGTCAGATTAACAACAAATAGTATAAGTATGTCCCCAATATTACAATGAAACGTACTCAACACTGTGGCAGTGTTCCCAGATCTGCCAGAGACAGCTGCCAATGCAGAGAGCACGTCCTGTGTCCCGTGCACTAATCCAAATGCTTTATAAGTGATCCTCCACTGAATACACGAAAACATATGGAAATGTAAACACACACCAACACATGGGTAATTTGAGATTAGGAAGAATGAATTGTGTATTTTTAAATTGCAAACATTATGCAAAAATTCCTATAATTAAGATATTTAACGAGTTGTCATTCATTAGCTGCAAACCAATTTGTCTAAAATTAAAAAATATAAAAATTAAGTCTAGATGCTAATTCCTGCTCATTAAGTCGCTGTTGAGCTTGGGAAAGTCTTCTCGCTTCTCTGGATCTAGGTTTCCTACTCGGCAGCTGAGAGTTGGATGGGATCGTGTGTGAGGTCCTTGCTGTCCCTAAAATCCCATGATCCCCTCTAGTGTGCTAGCGGCCTCAGAGGGCAGTCTCTCACCTCTGCAATCATCCTGTTGGTGTCTCCTAAGAAAAGCAGGTTCAGAGCCTCTTCCTCCGTGGTTGCCTGATGGCGAGACAGGTTTTTCAGGTGAATGTTCTGATCAGGGTCCTCCAATATTGTCACTTTCCTAGGAAGTGGGAAAAACAGAAACGAGGTACTTTGAAAATGAAAGGAACTTGAAGTCTTTTTTTTTTATAGGCTTAGTTTTTAAAAGATGTAGGGTATGATGTCTTGAACTTATAAAAATCAAGTAACACACGAGGCAGCAGACAGGACTCAATTCGCATCACACACTGACATGACCTTGACAGCACATCAACTAGCTTTGGGGCTCCTGATTTAAAGCCTCCTGTCTTTGCAATCATCAGCTCACTAAATCATCTTGAAATGCAAACTACCGAACTAAAAATGCAAATAGATAACCTTCTACCTATGTCAGGAAACTTGGCCATTTGTGTCATAATTCAGTTACTTACATCGGTAATGCACTAATTATTTTGCCGACTTTCCACCTTTTTTTCCAATTTCAATTTATGTGACATTTGAAATTGGTCAGCTCAGTCATTTAAACATGATGAGAATTGAAGCACCTGTCCTCCCTCTAGGAGTCATTGCCTTGTCTAGTTTTCTTATCAACAGGAGTAAAACATTCTCAAGAAGTCTTCTAAAGGCTTTAGTTTGTCATTATTATTTTTATATCCATCAGATGTGCTTCTTCATCCTTTTTCTTTTACAATATGCCCTTTCCTTCCATTACATCCTTGTAGTCAAGAGTCTTGGGGCTGGAATTATGTTCATTTCACAACTGCCTTCGCGGGCATCCGAGCGTCAATGCCGTGTCCTCCCAGGTGAGTCCTAACCCTTCACCCAGAGTGGCTTGTCCATATTCTCCTTAAAGTCCTTGAGCACTTTATGCAACTGAATACAACTTGGCCAAACTCCCCCTACTTTGCTTCAAAGGCCTACAGATGCAAGCAATGCAATTAGTGGACAGAGTTCCCGTCTGCCTTTTGAGTTTTGCCTTCCTGACCTTCTTAAGAATTGTTAAGGGAAGGAAATCTTATCATTTACAAGTACTGCACTTGCTTGACTTTAGGATAAGTAAAGATGGGCATCTTCTGGCATTACATCTCTAAAAATACAATTTGCAAGTAAACATTTGTCACTCGCCTGTTTATAAAAACACACCTACAATATCTTAAAAATGAAGATTTTTCAAATACCATAATTCTCACCCTTCCCTTTTGTAAGGAGGTTATCTGACTTTCAGATGTAATTTGTGGGCATTTAGAGTACTAATCACAGGAAGAAAGTGTAGCTCTCCCCGCACATCTGTGACCAATATGTCACTAATTATGTGATTTTTTGCCGAGTTTTGGACTCCTTTTTGTCTCCTTCAACAATACCAACTAAGATGGAAAAAGATCTCTTCCTTTAATGAAAACAAGTGTATTTTATTTATTTTTCAGCAAGACTCATAAGTAAGCTTATTAAAAATGTTTGTGAGTCCAAAAATGCTTGGAAAACATGAAGACATCTTTAACTGAAATGGATGAATTGTGTTCTATTTTTAGGAACCTCCTTTATTCCTTCAATTTTATTTTCACCCTGATCCTTTTGAAGTGCTCGAGAAGATTTGACTCAATTCAATCCCTAGGGACACAGGAGTTAGAAAACGTCCCAAACCCACAGGTTCTGGGTAATATTGGAAGGAAGATAAAAGTCTGAAATAAGTGATGAGACGGTACATAAAAAGTGGGAGGAGAGTCCTGTCTGTTTCAACATGAAGATAAAAAGAATTCTCCAACTCTGAGGCAGTCACCTCTCATGTGTGTGGTGAGGCCAAGACAGATGCAGTGCTATTCTGTGCGAGCTCAGAAGAGGGGGAGGGAGCAGCAGAAAGTCAGTCAAAGAGGAGGATGCTCGCACTCACTGGGCACCACGCAGGCCAGACACCTGCGGTGTTTCATTTAATCCAGGTGTCCCCAACTTGGCTGCCACAGGAACCACCTGGGAACTTAAACAAAACAAGACGAACACTGGTGCCAGGTCCCTCCTGAGATTCTGATTTGATTGTCCTGGGGTGTGGTCTGGGTATCAGAATCTGTAAAAGCTCCAGGCGTTTCTCATGTGCAGCTAAGGTTGAGAGCCATTGGCTTCATCTTTCCTTACCCTTCAAGGCAGACATATGGGGAGGTTTCTGGTTGCTTCATCTTACTTTCCACCCAGCTCCACCTCATGCCCAACTGGGAAAGTTATTCATCTTCTTGGCTGTCACTGAAGTCACTCTTGGGCCACATCTAATTGGCAAGGTCACATCTTAATAGCCTGTCCTTCCCTGGGAAGTTCCTTTTCTATTTCCCTGAGCATGCAGCTGCTTGGTCAACTAGGCACCACAACAGTAACGAAAGCTCAGGTGAGGATTATGGGTCCACCTCAACTTCCACAGGGTTTATAATCAGTGGTTCTCAACCTTCCTAATGCCGCGACCCTTTAATACACTTCCTCATGTTGTGGTGACCCCAATTTCATTGTTACAAATTGAACATAATTAAAGCATAGTGATTAATCACAAAAACAATATGTAATTATATATGTGTTTTCCGATGGTCTTAGGCGACCCCGGTGAAAGGGTCATTCGACCCCCAAAGGAGTCGCGACCCACAGGTTGAGAACCGCTGGTTTATATCATTGCTGAGTCAACCTAAGTGATGGTAAGGACACAGCATACATATATCTCTCACCATTATTTCACTGAAATAAAAAACATGGAAAACAAGCAACTATGGCATTCTAAGAGTGTTCATTTACTGGACAACCTAAATGAATTTAGGATTATATTCCTACTAGAGGCTGGGTGCATGAATGCATGCACAGGTGGGGTCCTGTGGCCTGGCCGGTGATCAGGGCCATTGGGGCCGGCCAGCCGGTGGGAGGGACCCCGAGGGTTTGGATGTAGGAGTGCACTGACCATGAGGGGGCAGCTCCTATGTTGAGCATCTGCCCCCTGGTGGTCAGTGTATATCATAGTGATCGGTCGACTGGTCGACCAGTTGTAATGGTCACTTAGGCATATATATATATGTATATTAGAAGTCTGATGCATGAAATTCATGCAAGAGTAGGCCTTCCTTTCCCCAGCTGCCAGCACCAGCTTCCCTCTGGCATCCGGGACCCGGGCTTCCCTCACAGCCCCGGCTTCCTCCGGAAGGACGTCTAATCTAATTAGCATACTATGCTTTTATTATTATAGATAGAAATAATCATTAGGAGCATAAGGTAGAAAGTGTTTGTGAAATGTCACCAGTGACATTTGGCTAAGCTACTTTTTTTTTTCTGATGGAGAGCGTTTGATCTCCAGTGTGGCTACTTCAGAACCATTGGACTTCTATATTTGCTGGTCCAGCTTTGTCAGTTTGATCAAAATAACTCTGCACATGCCCCCTTCTCTGCATGTCATTTTCAGCTGTCTTTCATAGCGTACCACTACATGTTTCTCTGACTTCTGATATTATGGTTCCCTCTATATTTTCTGATTTCTTGCCCAGGGAGACTTTGAAACGTAAATAAAAAGGCAGGTTGGTATCCAAAGTAATTTAGCTTCTTTCATGGCTGTGCCCCTGCTTAGGGCGCATCTCGGGGCACCTTATGAAGGACTCCATCGCTGGCATCCATATGGATTCTTCTGCGGTGCAAATTTCTCTCTCCAATCAGGATCGCCCTGGCCAGCTCTTCTCCTTCCATTGTTCCCTGGTTTCTGTCCAATCCCTTGGGCAGGAAGCTCTGGACTTTCCCTTATTGCCCTGCCTGTCCTCATTGAAAAATCCCTTTTTTATTAAGCCTTGAGCCTGTGTGTCAGCCCCATCCCCTCTCATGCCTTTGCTCAGAAAAGCCCAGTCATGCCCTGGGTACTACCTCTCACCTAGGTGGGCTAATCTGGGAGTGAGAATGTCTTAAACTGCTGCGGGTAAAATGCTTTTTCAAAGTTGGAGGAAATAAGAACCATTAGCAAAAGTTTCTCCTCAAGTTGCTTCCTTCCTGGCACTTTCTTTCCCCGACTCTCTCACAAATCAATAGCTATTTCCTGAATCCTTAGTCGCCACTTGATTCTGACTGTAATTTTCGTGGGCTTGAAAGACGGCTTTATTAAAGTTTCTTAAATAAACATCCCAATTCCAAGATGGAAACCCCCAAACTATTTATTTGATTCTTTTTGAAAGGGCCTGTGAGTCGTTTTTCCTACAAAATGTTTCTAAAAAGTTTAGATTTCAAACAAAAGTCTCTGATAGTCTTAACTTGGACACCTAAGTGGAAAAGTTTTGCTAAGTATACTCGGTCTGCTTAATGATGGGGAAGAAGCAAGCTTTGTATTTTCTCTGTAAACAGAGAATCTTTTCCATTTAGCTAAGTAATTGGAATTTGCAGGCTCTTTCTAACTGAAGGCATATAAAGAGCCATAGCCAAGCTCTTGTTCTCAATAATGGAAGCCATCAATGAAAGAACCTCCCAGCCCCCTCGCCGGCCTCCACAACATTCCACCACCACCAACTTGCCCAACAGGAACTTTCCAGGAGTTACTGCAATGAATCTGGTTTCTCATTTTCATGTTATAGGCAAATGTTGCCATAGGTGATTTCTTTTTCTTCTACTTGGGAATGCCCCATGCCATTGTGTAGACAGGCCACTACATAATGGTACCATGTCCCAGGGGCTGCAATGAACATAATGAGGTTGTATATTTATTATTACAAATGTCGGTCAGAGTAAAGTGTCATCTAACAAAACAAGCATATTACAGTAATTTTCCAGCAAATGGCAGGGGTGCCTTTTAATAGTTCACACGAAGGTGCCCTATGGACTAGAGGCAGCCCTGTTTAGTTACCTTGACTTAGAGCAGTATCAGTAGTAGGCAGGCCTCATGAAAATGGGAGGGGAACCACCAGTCTCTTCTAAGTAACTAGATATGTTTCGCATGTTGTTAACATGGTCTCGCTATTTACTTTAATAAAGAGAATATTCTCTAGTTCAGCAGTTTTCAACCTCCTTTTATGTTCCACCCCAACACACATTCTCAGACCTTCTCTATGGTGAAGATTGGGACAAAAGAGGAGATGTAAATTTTTAGGA